GTAGTTCCTGTTTCTGCCACTTCTTCCAAATGTCAAGGTATTCCTGCATTTCTGAATATGGCACTCTTCAGTGGCATACATAATCAAAAACTATGGGGAACTGATGTGGATTTTTTCTTTTTCTGTGTTATTTTAAATTTGAGTTCAGGAGACAGTTCATTCAGCTATGCAAAGAGCTGCTTGGCAGAAGTGAGAGAACAGCATGGGAGTAGGTGTAAGTAGTAGAGGATGAGTGAGGAAAGGGCTTCACACAGCAGCTCTGCTATCTGTAGTTGCTTTTCTGCCCATTTTTCTCCTCTGTGCCATAGCTGGCAGAAGGCAGGGCAGAGCTGTGCCTCACTAGCTGAGGTTCACAGTCTAGCATTTTAGCAGGAACTGACTTCTCAGGCAATTAAAGCAAATGTGCTCGACTGTGAACTGAAAGAGTTCTGTTGTGGAAATGTCCTCGGGCAGAGGGGATGGCAGGACAAATGGGGGTAGCAATGCATTAAACCATTGCAGCTGTTTTCTGCTTTGTGCTTAGGTCAGAGCTCTTCTAAGTGCACCACGTGCTGAAAAATGTACCACCCTGCTCGGTGACTGTTCCAATACTATACTTCCTTAGGAGTTAAAGATTAGCATCTTCTTTCTGAACTGAATTGTGCTCATCTCCTCATCTTGACCTTCTCATATCAGTGTGCACCAGCTTCAGTACTGGAATCTACTATTTAGAACCTAAGAAGATTTTTTAAAGAGTATGGGCTAGGACTTGGATATGTCCTAGCTCTATCTTTTACCTTATAAAGTAAGCAGGAAGGTGAAAGTGTTAATTCAGGGGAAGAAATTTTGGGAAATGGGAGTAGGGCATGAGGAAAATGCCAGCTAGGCTGTTTATTGGAAAGCCCATAAATAGGAATTAAGACTAACATTTCTGTTGTAAAAGGTTTGTGGTTTTTAACAGATGACTACCACAAGCATAAAATAACAGAACAAAGAAGTCTTTTACTTTAAGTAAAAGAAGTTCAGAGTGGATTATAACTTTATTTTGCCTCTAACTCAAAGAAGGAAATATCTGGGATAATTTAGTAAAATAACCATGTTGAAAATAAGTTATCTGAAAATTATAAAAGGCTTTCCAAACCAGAAATAAATTAATGCTAGCAAGTGTACTCTGACCATGCATTTTAACATATAACCTCAATTAATCTTGGGTAAAATTCTTTAACCTCACAACTCCAGCAATTAATAGAGGAGGTAAACTTGTAAGCACAAATATGTACAAAGGAAACCTAATTTTATTGGTTGATTGAATCTGAACGGTGTTGTCTTGGTAGACTTTGAAATACAGACATGCAAACATAAATGCAAACTGTTGTTTTGCATTTGCTTGCCATTGACTACCTTAAAAACTTTTCTTCTGAGTACAATATTTAAGGAGTTTTCTTAGATCTTTAATGCATACAGGATTGTAATCTTTATATTTTATATATAATCTTTATACTTATACTTATTATTTATATATAATCTTTATATTATATAATCTTTATACAACAACAGAAATGTTTGTGCCGGCCCAAGGGAGAAGGTAGGAACCAACAGCAAGAGAAGGTGACACCATCTGCCTCAGCAGCAGGGTGGAATTATGTGAGATTAAAGTGACCATGTAAATAGAGCCTTAGAAATGAAACCTGTTGGCTGGAAGAGTCCTTTTCCTCAAATAGATTCATGATTTGTTTATACCGAGTTAAGGGAATCCTTGACAGGCTGTGTCTGCTTTTTGGGTAAGTGGTGGCTCCACCTCCTTGTGCAGTAGAAACATTAGCATTTATAAGAATCTGAATATGAAATAATAGGAAATAATCTATTAGGATAAAATTAAAGCTAATACACTGATTAAGTCAGAGTTCACAGAAACTTGCAAAGGGGAAGGAAACAGTGTCTCTCTCTGAAGGGAACATGACGCAAAGTTTAGATAGAAAGGTTGGATGAGTCCCCAGATCTTTGCTCTCATCCACAAAGACAGGCCTAAGAAAGTCAAGCCTGTATAAAAACAGACTCCTAGACAGATATGTGAGCAAGTAGATAGCTGAGTAGCACAAAAAGAGAGAAACCTCTACATTTTTCTAGCCCTTAGTTTAGGAAATGTGGGTAATTTTATTTTAAATCATTACCATATTATATATTGTGTAAATACACTTATTAAATGGAGCTACAAAGCTGGGCAATGGCAAATGCTAGAGCATTACATTCTACTAGTGCTGTAATACTTTAAGACTGCAGTAGCTGCTCAGGATCATAGAATATTTCTTAGGCAAAAGAGCAAAAGAGCATTAATCTAGGAAGCCAGGTCAGGCAGATTGGAAGTTAGTAGAGCTGCTGTGAGAAAGAGAAGTCTTGTGATTGTTAACATTAGCCAGAGGCTCCCTGCATATAATACGATGGTGGGGAGAGTGGGTGAACCCTGAGGATTTCCCATGGAGTCTCTTATGACAGCATTTGAGTTAAATCAGTATGTGAGTGCAGCTGCTTCAAATAACTGAGAGAAGCAAGTCCAGCACCACTGCAATAAGTTAATGTTTAGCTGCCATGTGATGTTAAAACCTGTATTACTTGTTCAACTTACAGAGACTTGCCTTCAAAAGAAATTGGATAAAATTATTTATTATATTTTCAAGGTGCATATTACACTGACTATATTGAAGAATTCAGATTCTTCTCTGTAGCTTTTCAGTATTTTCATTTGTCTCATATAGTCATTCCTTATATGTCTAGAATTCCTGGATGTCTCAATCTTTGCAACAATTTTTTGGTTTTTCTGAGTTATGCTTAATATGTAATATGCTCCAAATTGTCATGGAAATGCAGGTGAATGTAAGAAGGTACTATAAAAGCACATTTACCTTTTGACATTGTAACAAACACTGCATTGTACAACTAGCAGTCGATTTCCATCTTTTACAAAAACCCTGCATCATTAGAATAACATTCAGTGTTGTTATAGCTGGATAGGAAACTTAAGAATTAATAGGTAGCAATAAATCAGCATAATTTCTACTGCTTGGACATTAAGATATACCAAAGCTTTGGTGTGGGCCTACAAAAATGGATGACGTGTGAACTGCAGAATGGAAACATGTGAATGGAGAGGCTGTATAGTGGATAACATGTCCATGTGACTTATGTTCTACCTGTGTGGTTTTTCTGCATCTGCTCCCCCTGTCTTTAGAATATTCCTTTGGGTTTCCACATCCTGTGAACACCAAGTCAGTGCATGTTACATGATTCCTGTTACTGTCATGGCTTATGTGGCCTAGCTTTTCATGAGAGTTGCCTCTACTGAAGCTTAATCAGGAATGTAACACGTAACTGCAAAAGGCTGAAACAGCCTTATTTTTTAGCATTTAGCAAAGCCTGGGCACAAAGAGTACTTGAAGAAGAACTAAACATTTCAGTGCTGGAATAAAGCACCTGCTCTCACAGATGATGAAGATCTCATGTACTAAGTGAAAAATATAGCCCCTAATGAACATATGCCAGGAGCTGTTTGGATCTAGATGGAACAGGAATGAAACATTTAGATTCTTGCCAGCCATATGGGACACTGACATTGCACAATTACTCCCAGCCTGTCATTCCAAGGCTTGGCATAGAGCACTGGATGAAGTATGGGCTTGAGATTATTCAGCAAAATGTTAAAATGCTTTGCTCTGTGGCCTCCTCTTGTGTTCTGTTGCATGTCCATAACCCAGCTAAACTTGTGCAAACCACTGAACTGCAGAGGGAGGGGATGCACAAAGCGCAGCCATCTGGGCCTGCTGAATAGGGAGAGAAGAAAACCCTGCGAGAGTCACTGGCTGTTACTAAAGCCAGGATTGCTTTTACAGGAGTGCCAAATCTTACTAATTAATTTTCAGATTTATACTTCAGGGTGACTCTGGCAGTGATTATATTATTCAAAAAACAGTCACAGACTGTTCTTGAATCTTCAAGCACAAATCTCTCAATACTTTGTGAGCTCCTAACATTTGGTTTCCACATACACATTTTTCCTAAAGAGTAAGACATGCCAAAAAGACTTAGCTTATCCTTACAGTAGTATTTTGTAACTGATCTTTTCATCAAAGCAGATGAAAAAGTGCACTTTGATAAGTGCACTGAACACCCAAAGCCATAACATGTTATGTTTGTCTCATTTTTATCCCAACACCTTGGCATAATCTTTGTGCCTGAAGTCTCATAGACTAAAAGCATCAGGACTGGAGACTCCCAGCTTCTGGCTTTGACTCTGCTAACACACTGCATTAAAAGAAGTCACAATCAATTCATAAAGACAAGAAGGATGGGCAGAAACCAAACCTTGTATAAGAAAGAATGATTTTACTTGAACTTAATAGTGTTCCCACAAATTTCAATTTAATGGAGGCTTCCCACAATGTATGAAGAGCTGAGAGATCCCCTGGTAAAGAAGAAATAGGTAACATTTCTCCACTTTATGGCACTAATGTAGAATTACAGAATGTCTGGGGTTAGAAGGAACTTTAGAGATTACCTTTTTCCAACCCTCCTGCCATGGGCAGGGACAACTCCCAATAGACCAGTTTGCTCAAACCCATGTCCAACCTGGCCTTCAACTGGGACAGCTTCTCTGGGCAACTTATTCAGGCTGTTCTTACCAACCTCACAGTGAAAGACTTGCTCATCTGTGTTAATATGTGTCCAGCTAAATGCTCCTTCCTTATTTTGGAGGAATATTCCTTTTGCGGGTGTTTTGCGGGGGGGAGGGGGGGGGTTTGGGTGTTGGGGGGTTTTTTAAGGACTGTAAGGAGCCTGCAGCTGGTTTTAATACCCTGCCCAGTAAATGACGGGAGCCTGTTCACAATCAATGACACGCGTTATGTATTAACAGACTTTTCCATAATTGTCCCCAGACAGCGCCCCGAGCACTTTCTGGCAGACACGAGGGGAACTCGGGGGTGGCTGTCAGCTCCACGGACTCCGGGCTGTCCCGGAGGGGGAAAAGGGACTGGGACAGCCCCAGGGGCTCGGGGCGGGCGGGGCTCGCCTCGCCGCCTCAGCCCCGCCTCGCTCCCTCGCGGCTGCCGCGTTCGCACCTTCAGGCAGCGGCGTGAGCGGTGGCTGAGGCGGCAGCCGCTCGCCCTGCCCGCTGACAGCCGCCGTCGGCCGCCGGTGCCCGAAGCAGCTCTTCCCCGCTGAGCCGAGCGGAGCCGGCGGCGCGGCTGCGGCGGCAGGCGGGGGAGCGCTCCTCACCGCTCCGCCTCCGACCGCCGCCCGCTGCGGGGATGTGTGATTGCCATGGCGAGGCGGCTCTTCCCGGGGGCCTGGCTGAGGAAGCCGCACTCCGCGCAGGTAGGCCGGCGAGGGGCCGGTGCCGGCGCCCGTCCCTCCCCGCAAAGTTCCCTCCGGAGCGGGCGCCCCCCGCAGGGCTCTCGCCGGGCGGGAGGTGACGGCGCCGGGCACGGCCGGCTGTGTCGGGGCACGGGAGCAGGTGGCGGCGGCCTCGGGGCCGCGGTGCCTCTCGCCGCCGCCCGCCGGTGGGATCGGGCCTCTCCCGCCGCCTCCGGGCGCAGCGCGCTCCGCGGAGCGGCCGGCGCAGGACCTGTTACGCGGCAGGCGGCGCGCGGCTCCGCGGGCTCACGGCGCGGCCGGCGGGGCAGCGACACCTGCGGCACTGCCGCGGCCCGGGAGCCCCGTGCTGAGCTCCGCGCCCCTGCCTTACACCTCTCGCCCGTGCTGCAGGCATCCATCCTGGCAGCGCATGGACCACAGCTTGCAGGAGCAACTCATGCCCTTTTTTGCGTGTTTTCTAAAAAATTAATGTCGGGCACTTTTCTAGTGCAGCTCCATGCATTTCCTTATATGTTCGTAGACACACTTTTGTATTTCTATATGCACGTACATGTTTGCGTTACTTCAGTTAGCAGAGTAAGGATGTTTTGGTTGGAAGTGCTGTGGCTGTTGTGTTGTAGGAAGTTCTGTGGTGAAATGTTAGTCAGTCATGACATTGTGGTAGCTTGATGATTTATCCACTGGATTTTTCCTTATCAGATGGGTTGTATTTTAACTAGATTGTCACAAAGGTGAGCATTTGTTGAATTTGAGGAGATAAATAATGTTTACTTTTCTTATACATGCTGCTTATGTGTTTGTCATCTCTTGATATGTTTAGTGATTGTTGGATAAAAAAATTTTAAACTTCATATTGGTGTATTTTAAAATCTTGAATGTTTGAATTTCTCCTCATTTGGAAAAGTTCCAGATGAGGAGAAATCTTGTTCTCTTTCTGGAAGTACCTGGAGTGGGGTGTAATGCTTAATGAGAAGAATACAGATCTAATTTTACCCTCTTCAGTATCTGTTTCATAGTATGTATCTGCAACTGTGGGTCACTTGGGTTTTAAACCAAAAAAGATTACTCTAGATCTATTTACTGAAGTAGACACTTGTACAATATTTGGATTCCCATGGTATAAAGCCCTCAATACAAATAAAAATGAGTTAATAATTTATACGCTACCTTTCAAATGAGGAGTCTCCAAATTGTTTGCCTCCTTTGCCTTGATAGTCTTTTTCTTATCATCATATGGTGATACCTGATGATAGTCTTCTCTGCTCTTCTCAAAATTTAATTTAAGGCCTTTCAAGCAAAATACATTATTTTAAATCTGCTAAGAAACAAGAAGACAGCAAAATTATTTATTAGAAAAGCCAAAGAAGTTAAATGTTTGTTTCTACTGCAGATTTTTAAAAAAATTCTGATTATGCTTTTTTATACTGAGAGGTGATTTTGCATATTCTGTGGACTTGTTTTAGGAGAGCTAATAGTGGCTTTGTGACCTTAAACATATTTTTCTGTGTTAGTGAATGTATGTTGATATTTGATGCATCCATAGAATGGCAGCAACTATCAATATATTGGCTTTTCTTGTCACTGCATGTTACTGTTGGTACGTGACAAATGTAGTCATGATTTACACTGATTGCTGAGTGCTTTATTGAGATTTGTCTCCAAAGGAGCCAATGCTCTCTAAGTAAGTGGTAGACTTAACTCACCGAGGGCCATGGGCAAGGTGGAAAGACTTGCAATGTTTCTATGCAGCATTTCAAGTAGCACACCAGGGGAGATGTTTGTACAGTGGAAGGTTATCACTGAGTGAATTCCAGCCTTTGCTGGCTGGTGTTCCAGACTTCTTGAACATTATGTTGTGAAATGAATTGCCAGAACATCAGGTTCTGTCAGACAGAACTTAATACTGTTCCAGCTTTTCTGCCCTCATGGGAGCAGGATATTATGAGCTGGGTTGCAACACATATTCTATGGCAAATGTTCTTTTGCTTTATGCATGCTTTAGCTTTTGTGCAGAATGCAAGACCCATAGGTGCTCAGTTGATGATCTTTGAGCCTAAAAAAGACGTCCTGCCATGTGTCAGCTCATGTAAAAGGAGCAGGGCACACTCTTAGCTTGGCCTAAAACTTTGTGTTAGGTCCTCCCTGAGTCTATGTTGAAGTCCTGTCACTATAAAGAATAGTAACTCTGAAGTACAAAGCTTTGCCATTGCTTAGACTGCAAATCATGTAATGATAGTAAACAGAACAAAAAAAAAAAATACCCTAACACCTGAAAAACGTTTAAACACCACTAAAGACCACAAAAATAATTTAATTGTATTTATGGGATTTTACAGCTGGGTGATAAACACTGGGATTTTGTTTGACAAGGAGAGTTAGTGTCCCAGATTTAAAGGACATTGCCCTGAAGTTCTTTTCTGATAGCCTCACAATACAATTGGTAACTACAGCTGAGGACTAACCAGCAGGATTCCTTATGACAAAAATCATGTAAAGAGCACTTGCATGTGTGGAAGTTTGACTTTATAGATTCTGGATCAAGTTTACAGACTCTTTAGAGGTGCCTCATGGACTTCAGTAATGTACAAGAGACTGTCTTTGAAGGGCCAAAGAATAAGCAAGTTTAAAGCCCCACATAGCAGAAATTTCCTAAATAATCTCTTAGCTCTAAGATTTTAATCCCTTCTGCTCTGTTTAACCTTTAAAGGAGAGATGTCCCATTTTCCATCTTGGTCATTATTTTATTTCAAAAGATACCTCACCTCTGTTTCCTCACTTTGGTTACTCAGGATACAAAATAACTCAAGACACCGGCATAATCATAAGCACTGTCTGCTTTTAAAGATGTGAACGTGTCCCGTTCATGGCATCCAAAACAGTGTGGGCTAATGCTCTCAGACATCATGTCAGCCTACCTGAAATGCCTCCTGTGAGAGACAAATCAACCTGAACAGAGAACAAAACAGAATTTCTAACATGATTGGCCTACTTTTTTTCATCTGTCCTTTTCTATTGCAAGTATGTAACACAAATGGAGCAAGCAATTCTGATTTGGAGATTACTACACTATGGTTATGTGTAATACTTTCCAGAATTAAGCTCTCTACTATTAAACAAAGAAACACTTTCATACTCTTCAACCACAGAAGTGTTTTAAATAAAAAGTACACTTACCAAAAATCTGTCAAGTTATGTTGCATGTTGATTCACTACTCTCCATATGCTTTGGAGTGCATCCAGGCTTGAGTTTTGCCAGAAGTGGTTTTCCAGTTCTATTTCAGGGGACAAATGTCTAATTATTATTCAGTGCATATGACTTAGCAGAATATACAAGTGATGGAAGAAGTTGAATCTGTAACATCAAGCATTGCAAGTGTTTCCCTCATTCTTGAAGTCCTTGGCTCATATTTAAGTCTTCATGGAAGAGTAGAGTTGAAAAAAGGAACTGTTTCCTTGTTTTGAACACTTTCTTCCTTTTTTTGGTAATTTTGGAACTCTGTCATTCTGTTGCCCTAAAAATGTTCTTATGACAAGTTTCCTGGCAGTTTGTCACAGTTTCAAATGGAGTCCATCCTTATGTGTTGTTCCCTAATGCTGTCTGGGACTTTTGCTCAGAAACGTGTTCCAGTGCCCTGCACAGCAGTGTAAGTCCTTGTGTTCAGGGTCCCTCACCGCGTGACCAGAGCAGCTCAGTAAAGCCCTGTCCCCTCAGCAGGACAGTGTGTGGCTGTGCCAGCTGAAGTGAGCTACATGTGTCATTGCTCACAGACCCGTTCTGGGGAGAAAATGAAAATTTGGGAGGGCAATGGATGGGAAGAAATCAAATAATGATCATGCCTTTTGCCGAACTTGATGAGGAAGTCCTTATTGAAAAAGTAATTCCCTTTGAACCAGAGAGTGGAGCCTTGGTTGTCTGTAAGCAGAGGGATACTCTTGTCCATGTCTGAACTGGCTGGGCAACTTCTGCAAGTCAAAAGCTGCATGACTCCATTGGCACAGTGCTGAGCTCAAAATAAATCTAGCTTCTCTGGAACTTCCTGCCAAATACATGATGTAGTCAGATGGCATTTGGGGAGGATTTTCAGTCTCAAGTACATTCTCTTTTGCCTAATGAGGAGGACAATATACACAGTATCCATACTGGGAGAATGGTCAATATTCTGCAGTGGTCCTGAGGCCTGCAGGCTGCTGCTGGTCTCTGAGGTTGTACTAAATGGATACAATAATACAAAATTTAATTAACAGCACTTTGGTTTAAAGTGTATTGTAAAGGTTCATGGAAGGATTCAGCAAGAAACACTGAGGAATAAAGAGGGTTTGTTGTCCCAGAAGCTTTGGTTCCCAAGCAGTTTTTACACATGAAACAGCTTTCCCTAAAATTGTCGGTTTTATTTCTGTTGATCTTCCCCAGATTTTACCAGCAGTTTTCTGTGCTTCATGTTCTGCTACATAATGGAGTTATTGGAAATACCTTAAAAAAACCCCCAAAATTATAAAAACCTGTCTCTAAAAAAAATCACTGGAATAAAAGTTAATTGTAGCTCTATCCTTTTTTAACCAGGTAGTTTTAAGATTGTCAAGTGAGTGTGTGTGAAGGCATGAAGGAGTAGGGATGCACAGCTGAGGCATGTGGCAGGACCACACCTTTATGGATTGGAATCACCTTTGGGTCTTTTGAAACTGACTTTTTCTGGATTTTTTGTTTCCAAGAAAAAGGGTATAATGCATGCTGGTTGTTTGTTATATTTTAATAAATACTAATATATTACTCTAGTCTTTCTGGTTAAAAAAAAAAAGTTGCTTATTTGAATCTGCTGCAGTTCTGTGTACATATGTGATGGCAAAACTGATCATGATTACTATCTTTCTTGGGACATTTTCCAAATGGAAATAATTTCTCCATGATGTACAGTCAAGTTAGAACCTGTCAATTTGCAAAAGAGATGAGATCACAGGGAGGTGTGTTATGGAGGCCTACAAAATCATGTCAGATGGGGACAGAGACTGTTCACTCTTCTCTTCCAATACATGAACTAGGGGGTCTCAAACAAAGCTAATATAAATCAGACTTCAGCAAAATAAAGTCCAGTCCGTGACCATGGTAGTGGATAGTAGACATGTGAATTAATTGCTGAAGTTTGTTGTGGATGCTAAAAGCTTATGTGGATTTTTAAGGGAATCTGGTAAATTAGTGAAAGATTTGAGATTTACTAAATATAGAGTATCACATCTGGCTTAATAAGTTCTTCTAGAGGAAACTGGGAGCACACTTGGTGTATTTGATAATATATCAAATGTTATCAGTCTTCAATAGCATATTTTTATAGCTATTGCTGAAGATTAGGATACTGATAGAAATGGATCTTATACTGACCAAACATAGCTGCTCTCATGCACTTCCTTATATCCTGCTGCTAAAGCTGATCCTGATCTTCTAGTTACTTTCTGATCCTGATGTGAATATGAAAATCATCCTGTTAGCACACCAGACTCTGAGGAGGAGGAAAAAAAAAAGAAGGAAAAGATCAAAACATCCCTCCTACTTTGTAAGACACTTAGCTCTCCCTCAGTTCTTAATTTCAAGGAAGGAGTCGGAGACTTCAGCATATGGAACCTGACCCTGATATCCATCCTGCTCATTGTATCTCTATATTGCATATTTACACATTAACAGATTATTTTTTGACCAAATTCCCGGTTTGTTGGGTTTGATTTACCATGAGTGGAACATAGGTAACTGGTCTTAGAGAAAAATGCACTTAATTGAGCTCTGGGGGTTTATGATTTTGATCAAATTGGTTCCTGCAGTCTGGCTTGCCCCATAAGGGTCTGATACCTTTTCTTCTATTTATTTGTATCTCAATTTTCCTTCCAGTTACATACATCAAACTGACCTCCCCTGTCAGTTTTCTCACTGAAGGAAGCAAATGTTCCATATAATGCAGTCTGCTTATTTTATCACTGTGGAAGTCAAATTCCTTAGAGATGAAATAGTAAATGTACTGCTGCTCAGTGAATTACAAATAGTACTTTCTCTTTGTGTGCTCTAGGTCCGTCTGTCGTACGTGCGGATCAAGTATCTCTTCATCTCCTGGTTGGTCGTGTTTGTTGGCAGCTGGATTATGTATGTTCAGTACTCCACCTACACAGAACTCTGCAGAGGCCATGACTGTAGGAAAATAATAGTGAGTGTATTTAGTATAGCTTTCTGAAGTGTTTGACTAATTCAGTCTGTGCCACATGTGATTTAATCAAATTCTCATACTCCATCATGTAAGATTACAACTTCTGTTACTTCAGATAAAACCAGTTGTGTCTCTTAATGATATTTTGGCATAGGGTTATTAGATTTTTTTCTTAGATTTTTCTTTCAAGACTCAGGTGTTGGAAGAGATACAGTTGTTGCCTCCTTTCCTAGGCAGTTTGTGAAATATATTTCTCCCTGTTTGTTTCAGTGTGATAAATACAAGACTGGTGTTATTGATGGATCAGCATGTAGTAGTCTTTGTGCTAAAGAAACATTGTATTTTGGAAAATGTTTGTCAACAAAGCCCAATAACCAGGTAAGGCTTTACTCATCCAACCTAGTTTTATTATTTCCCACTGAAATGTCACTGTCTGGAACGTCAGGTAGACCTTAGTGTCAGCAAGTTGAATCTGTTTAATACAGATTATTTCAAATTTTATTTGCTGTGACAGGCAGAGCGTGTGTGTGAGTGTATGTGTGTGTATATATATACCTCTCCATATATATACACACCTAGACAAAGATACAGTGTAATAAAAATTAATATATATAATATGCACCTATATACAATAATAGAAATTAGTCCTGTATGTAGAGGGGTGTATGGTTATTTTATACTACATGTACACATACAATATATCCTTTCACAGTTTGCCAGACTTGCACACCTTGTACATCATACTGCTTTCTCTGCTATCCTGCATCACCAATAGCAGCAGCAGCCTCGTAACAAGCTATGCAAAGGTGGCAGTGATGCCAATCTGTTGTTTGGGAAGCTGTCTGTTTAGACAGTGCAGTGTCTCCAAAGTACCCACAGCAGTGGGCTGTCTTTGGAGCTGCCATTGTTCAAATTGCCATATTCATTGTTCTGCACACAGGATTCAGTTTCTGATCTGTGGTGACCCTTAAAGCAGTGGCTGGAGGACAGGTGGTCTTCAGATGGACTTCTACAGTGTTTTATACCTTTTCTCCTCTTTTTCTTCATAGATCTATTTAGGAATCTGGGGAAATCTGCAAAGTGTTATAAAATGCCAGATGGAAGAAGCTGCTCAACTTGATTTTGGTACTGACCCAGAACCAAGGAAGGAAATAGTCCTATTTGATAAACCAACAAGAGGAACCACTGTTGAGAAATTCAAAGAAATGGTATATAGTCTTTTTAAAGTAAGTATATTCTAATTTATTCTATTTTGACAGAACTGCTTGTTTTCTTGAAGCTGGAGAGAATATAGAATATACCCCATTGTATGAGCCTTGTTCAAGGATATGCTAGAAAAATAATCAGCATAAAAATAGTTTTTCCCAGAGATGCTTATCTTGAATTTGAAGTAACTAATTATCAGGGCTTTTCCCTTACTCTTTAAATGATGAAATTTAAATGGCATTCATCTTGTATGTCTATATTTTGCTAGTATTGGTATAGAAAACATGATGTAAGGCTGATGTCAGTTATCATGCATTACAGCAGCTTTGTCTCTAACAATGGTGAGCAGCAGGTGTGTTAGGGTAGTTTTTAGGAAAATTTGCAAAAAGTTGACCTGCCTAGCTGAAAATGGAACAGTTCTGATTCCAGCAATGACTTTTTTCTCTGTAGTCCTACAATGGAGGTGGTTGCGCCAAATAACAAAACTAAGCATTTCAGTGTAATTATGGGATTTGTACTCCGTTTTGTCTTGGTACCCTTAATAACTGGACAAAATGTAATTCATAACATTATTCCTCTACATTTGTAAGGTCTAATCAGCTGAAAACTAAACCTGATCTAAATTTTTGAATTCTTCATACTTTTTCTTAGAGAACATTGAACAAGCTACATGATACAATTTTTCTAAAGACTGATCCGATCAAGAACAATGATTGAATTTTAATATTTGCATTTTGAAGTGCAGAGAAAGGTAGTTCTTTCAAAAGGTTGTATGCTCAGTGCCTATGAAAACAGAACAAAAAGGAAGCTCTGCAGGCAGCTGATGGCAGGTCCTGTTACATCCATAACCAATGAAAATCACAACATACCCAGTTATTCCTATTATTCATAGAAGCAGAGTAACAGGAGGCAGTGTGACAGATGGATTGGGAGTAGTTAACGAAGTCATACTTAATCTTTTTCATTTGTTGCTTTCAGGCAAAACTGGGTGAACAAGGGAATCTTTCAGAACTGGTTAATCTCATCCTGTCTTTTGCTGATGGAAACAAAGATGGAAGGGTCTCTTTGCCAGAGGCAAAATCTGCATGGGCACTCCTGCAGCTAGAAGAGTTTCTGTTAATGGTGATCTTGCAGGATAAAGAACATACTCCCAAGCTGATGGGTTTTTGTGGGGATCTCTATGTGACCGAAAGAGTTGAATATACCTCTCTCTATGGAATCAGCCTTCCATGGATTATAGAACTTCTCATTCCCTCTGGCTTCAGAAGAACCATGGACCAGTGGTTCACGCCATCATGGCCAAGAAAGGCAAAAATAGCTATAGGGCTTTTAGAATTTGTGGAAGATATTTTCCACGGACCTTATGGAAACTTTCTTATGTGTGATACAAGTGCCAAAAACTTGGGATATAACGAAAAATATGATTTGAAAATGATGGACATGAGAAAAATAGTGCCAGAAATTAATTTGAAGGAAATAATTAAAGATCGTCAGTGCGACTCAGATTTGGACTGCATTTATGGTACAGACTGTAGAACATTATGTGACCAAAGCAAAATGAGATGTACCACTGAAGTAATTCAGCCAAACTTAGCAAAAGCTTGTCAGCTCCTTAAAGACTATCTGCTTCGTGGTGCTCCTTCTGATATCCATGAAGAACTAGAGAAACAGCTGTACTTGTGCATTGCCCTTAAAGTCACAGCAAATCAGATGGAAATGGAGCATTCTTTAATACTCAATAACTTAAAAACTTTACTGTGGAAGAAAATTTCTCATACAAATGATTCATAGTTCTCCACCAGCAGAAGAGAATACTGATGCCTGCCACTAGAGGTGGCCTAAGACATTTAATAAAAATAATCTGCACCTTTTTAAAAAGATATTTCTTTACTCAGATTTTATTAATGGTTCTTTCAGTCCTGCCCTTCAGTCAGTAACTCGGGACAGGGCTTCTCAAAGAATGAACATGCCACTGAATGACCCGGCAGAGGCCAGAAGTCCTTCTGGTGTTCAATGCTGTGTTACAGAAACAAGAACTCTGCATGCTTGACTGTTCTGTGCACTTTGTCAGATCTTGAACAGGATGAAAGTGTTCACTGTGCCACATCAGCTGAGGGTACATTCTCCATTTTTGTGAAAAACATTGCTCACTTGTGAAATACCTGCAGTGGATTTTTTCCTAAGTAGTTTTGTGAAGAATCACCACTACTGCAAGTAATGTGTCCAAGTCCAAGCTGCTGTTATGAATAAACTGAACTGTGAGATTGAAGTTTACTAATACCTTAGCATGGCAGAATTTGCACATTAAATAATTTTCAACTGTGGGAAATCAGAATTTTATTCTAGAATGGCTAGATTGTAGTATGAGACAAATCAGATTCTGTTTACACATTGTTACCTCATGTCTTGGTTTAAGTAGTTCAGCATATTTAATTAAGTCATTGTACGGTGAGCCCTGTGGGAGCCAACCATTTTAGAGTATTACTTCTTGAAGTCATCTATATGGTTTAGCAGCAATACCAGCATCTGTTTCAAAACTTCAGTGAAAACCTTTAACCCAAATTAAGCTGTAGCAAACAGTGAAAAGCAAGGACTTTGTGGACTAAGCTATAGTATGGAAACTGAATTTTTAAAAATACTGAATAGCAAATGTGTCCAACCAGTTAAAAAAAAAAAAAAGTTTGCATAGTGCAGGAATCTACTGTATGACATGAGAAACAACTAATAGTTGTGGATAGTCTTGTCTCTTAACTGTCCCTCCACATTTAGCTACAGACCTGTACTTCAATCTTCTTAATTACTGCAGGAAATATATAAACAAGAGCTAGACCTGAATTTTAGGACAGAAGCTGGATTGTTCAGGATCGTGCAATACTGCTTAAATGCGAGCCTGTGAGATATTTTCCAGCTCATTCCTAGCTGTTACTAAGTGAGCTGCAGTGTGATACTATTGTTTTTTTCTAGTAGCATCTATGAGTCACTGTTAAGACTCAAGTCATGAGTAAATAAACATCACCTGATCCTGGCACTCCACAAAGCATGACCACTCTACCACCTTTAATCTTCACCCTTGTATTTTTCAGATTTACATCTGTGTTCATAATTATGCAGAATTGGATGTCCATAATACACCTGAATACATGCTCAATACTTACCTGCTGAATGTTTAATTTATAAATGCTTTAGGTATGAAGTTGTTCAATCTTTATGATTTTAATGGCAGTCATCTGTATACTTCTGAATCCTGGCCCCTTAATTCATGTTCAGCAGAGTTAAGAACAAGTTTTAAGTATTTGAAAGGTTAACTGCTCTAGGTATCCTGTCTTAAATGCATTCCTAGAATGATGACACTGGCGTACAGGACCACAATAAAGTAATTTCTCCATACCAGATGTAATAATATGCAGCTTGGGTTAAGATTGTTTTGTGAACATCAGCCTTTCAGTTTAAGAAATACTATGCTCATGCTAATTATTGTCTTGAACTTGCTAATGTGCTCCAGCTATGAACTAAAAAGTATTTGTATTTGTAACCAGCAATGCACTAAAAGTGTAAAGTGGTCACGTTCTTGTGAAAAAATCTGACAGTGACTGCTGTTTGGGCAGAGATTACTTAAAATACCCAAGGTCATTGGGTATCTTATCTGGAGAATATGTTTAATAGTGCAGTTTGTTGTACACAATCTTAATTTTTATTACTGTTGCATAAAGTTGAAGCTTTCATTGGGAAAAAATATACACTTTTGTTTACAATAAATCACAGGCCTCTTTTTTTTCAATAGCAGTATTTACACCAACTACCAGTATCTTAGAGCAAAACATTCCTACATGTAGCCTACTTTACCGGTGTTTAAACTGTGCAAACAGTTTTTCTAAGTCTGGTGGAAACCTACTGGCACACAGAAGTGCCTGTGAAGCAGATGAGGGAAAGGACCAGGGCAGGACAAGGCTGGTGAGGAACACTTCTCTTCCAGGTGGCTCAGCCTGCAGGCTGCAGAGAGAAACACAGACTGGGCTCTGGGAGGGAGCCACCCTTTAGGAGAAGATGAAAGCTGGTGCTTGGTGAGGGGGATGGAGACGGAGAGGGGAGGCAGGGGAAGAGTGAGAAAGTGCAGACTGGCAACAGGGGAAGAGGAGGGAGTGTGAGGGTATAAAAGCCATGGGATGCTCCTCAGAGGAACCATCTCCAGTTGTTCCTGCACCAGGAATAAACTACCTTGTGGAACCAGATGTTCTGGGCTCTACTAAGGGAACCCTAGGGGTGAACTGGAAGGGAACATGGTCTGGTGAGTGTGTGGGGAGTCAAGGGGAAAGGCCCTGGTGTGTAACTACCAGGGAGTCTCATTAATGTTTCCTTAACATGGCCTCTGTACCTACCCCCGTATATGCAACTTAAAGTGAATTCTCTTATCAAGTTAATAATGTGAAATACTCTGTTCAAGACAGTACCTGTTTCAGTAGCAGCCAAAGCTTGGAGGTGATAAGTGCCTGAAAGCCTGAGGTTATCTTTGGGCAGAGGCTTTAGAACCTATTGTGACTGCTCTTGGTTTTTTCCAAAGCTACATCCAGACTCCCCCCAGACATGAAGTATGCTGAAAGAATTGTGAAATACAGGTACAGCCTTTAAAAAAAAAAATTAAATCTTTCTCTAGTTAGAAGCAGCAAACTCTTATACTTAGTCCTTGATACTAACCATGCTAAAAATTAATCAAATTTACTTCCTCCTTCTTATAGAAGTAATTCTGATGCAGCAGCCTTGGTCTTTGAAGTCTGTGACCTCTCTTCTCTGTGAAAACTCAGTTCACACAGGACTTTGAGAGGGGAGAAAAAACCCTTTCAGGTACAGAATACCTAATAAAAAATAAAAAAGAACAAAAATATTCTCTCTTTTTATAAACTATATAAATAAGCTGGTCTTACGCAGTTGCTTCCTCAATAAATTTATTGCCACTTTTTCCAAAGCTTCACAGAAAACTGTGGAAGTTGTCTTAGCTCTCTGTTCTGCGCTCCTGGGCCCTGAGGAAGCTGGCCTTCTTCTGAGCAACACGGTCTTTCTTCTGGGCAAGAGACATCTTGGGACAATTCCATCTGCAATGGAAGCACAGTGTGCAGTAGATCCAAAGCAGAAAAGTAGCAGTGCAACATAACTGTGATTAAGAGTGCAGTGGAGAATATATTCCCACTTCTGTAACATGCTTTATTTCCTCATAATGATCTAAGGCTGTAGTTAAAACACCACAAAAAAGCATGGCTAGACACTTTTAATTTCTCTAGAGATAAACTCTGTATTCTCTGTGACTGAAGCACAGACGTTATCAAGCCCAATGCAACAGCTGTGTCTTGATTTCTTTTCTCACACACCCTTAAAAATCAAAGCAGTTTGCTACTGACAAAATAGTCAACGAGCTCTCAGCTGAAGAGAAGCAGCTTTCCCACTGAAAACACTGGGACCTGAAGGTACACACTGTTCCAGATATTCAAGCCACAAACATTCTTCACTTTGATTTTTTAAATAGCTAAGAGCTCTTGAATTTTATATTCCTACTGCTAAATTTAACTCTGAAGTTATACAGAACTGCTTGTATCTTAATCTGGTCCAGAAGACATAACTAATGACAGAACTGCAAAACTGCATTACTTGTTCCACTGTAACTAAGATATCTCCAACAGAGAGGTCACACAGATGTTAAAAAGAATGAGAATTTTACCTCTTTTTCTTGACGTCTCTCTTGGGTTTCTTTTCATGGACTGGATTATCCCGTATAGCAGCATGGGCTTTTTTATACATTTCTTCCATCTTGGGAAAAAAAAGAAAAAAAAAATTAAATTTACCATAGTGGTTCAATTGTAGGTTTATCAGAAATCCAAGATCCCTGTGCTTGCATTGTCCCCAGGCATGCAATAATGCTGCTCTATCCCAAAGGCAGCTCTGGCTCCATAATGGCACAAATTTTAAGAATATCTTTGCTGGTGGTTAATTAAGACCACTAGATCTCAGCTGTGACTAACTTTTTAGATGTACAAAGAGCAATTGTCTATATAGTGACCTAAATTCTAGACACGCTTCATTTGAATACAAGCTACAACTAATATTTGTTTAGAAAGCAGATGAAGCTGGCATTTGCATTACTTTCTTTTTATAATTTGTTAGAAAAAACTAGCAACTAGGTGGGTGAATTTATAAAAACCCCAAAACCCACGGAAATTAAAGGATAGAGCATGAAGTTTGCTATAGCTTAAAAAGGGGATATGAGGGAGCTGTGTTTTAAAGCTCCAAGCTCACTTACTAGGACAACCAAGCAAGAATAATACAGGCAGCAGGACAAGCCATCTGGAAGGAGTTTAATACTTGGAAAAACTAGAAGAACCACCTCTGTATTCTTACTTATCTTCTAGTAATTTACTAAGTCTAAAATGTGAAGCAGTACTAAAATAAAGTGTATTACAGTCTAGACTTTCATGAAATGCCACCTTGGGCTCTCTGAATACATCACCTGGAATAGCAGAACTCCTTCTAGGGTCACACAAGCAGTACCACAGATTCGACCCACAACCACATGCTCACCCACAGTTATAAGCCCTACATCTGCAGAAATGACAGGCTGTGGGGCAGGATAAGGAAAGAGTAGAGAGTTTGTACAGAAATTTCTAATTTAGTTTATTGGGAAGGGGGGAAGTGGTCCAGCACATATTTAGGTCCTGTAAGTCTGATTTATAGGCAGAATATAAAGTTTCATAGCAGGCAAAAAGGTCCCAATTTCAGAAGTTCTACACTAATATCAGAGCCCTTAAATGAAGGAAAAAAAAATTTTCTTTGCATGGGTAACATACAACATGAGTCACAAAATTTTACATATCAGACTTATTTGCATGATTAGAGAAGTCCCTATCAGCATCTCTATTTAAATTCCTGAGCTCCAGCTGGATGAATCTTACCCCGTCAGGTGTTACATTGTTCTTTATGTACTGGGAGAACTGTTTCTTGTAGGCATCTTCATCCTCCTCCATCAGGTACCGCATGTAATCGGCCACGTTCTGGCCCATGATGTGCTTGCGGTGAACCTCAGCATTGAACTCTTTGCTCTCCGAGTCGTAGCCAGGGAAACGTTTGGTGCTGTCAAACAGCAGGTACAGTCACATTAAGGCTCTAATGCAGAGGCTAAGGTACACACTGAAATTACTCATTATTCTCATACATCAGATTCTCCTACAGAAAACTGAGAGATAGGACCCTCTTCTAAAAAAAAAACAAACTAGAAGTTTTAAGCTCATCTCAGCTGCCATCAGTCCCGTCTTGAAACACTGCAGTACATCATACACACGCCATGGACCAACTACAGCGTGCTCAGTCACTGCAAGTATCATCACGTAGCAGCCAACTCAAAAAAACCTGGACAATTAGCCAAGAATAGGACAGCATGGGAGAGGGTAGGAAAACACACAAAAGATCTCAATAGTTTCTTTCCTCCACTGCTGCTAGCAGAAAGCAGCACTCAACCGTAATATCAGTGTTAAGTAACAGTCAAAATACCCATGTGGAAATTCTAAATGAAGGTGGACTGCTCAGACTTACTGCTGTACTGACAACTGTAGCAAGTACCAGTGGGTTTGTACCTGGTAAGTAATTTTTTCACAGTGAAATTAACACCTACACACAACTTGGTGAAGACTTAAACCAAGCGAATACCCCTTGAAGATGTGATAAGAGCATTCACTTGATTTTTGGTAAAAGCAACAAGGTAGTTCTTTAGTTTCTGCAAGTTTCATAACATCTTGACAGTTTTAAGATTCCCAGAACTATCAGAATTGCATTTGTAGATTAAAAACCAACTAACAATAAACCTCCAAATCCAGAATCTAATTACATAGCCATTACCATGACAGTACAAAATTATTTCAGCATAAATTGATTAGTCTAAATAGACTGTCACATACAGAAGCATCTCAGGCTAACCCCAAAGAAATTCTTTGTAACACACATTACCTATGAGGGATAGACAGCCCCCCGTCCACCGCACCCTTCAGAGCACCAAAGACTTTGTTTCCAGTGGTAGTTCTGGCAAGACCTGCATCCAGGTAGCATGTAAAAGCACCAGGCTTGCCATCCACACTTTCCACATTGTACTCGTCACCAGTGACTTCAACTTGGCCTTCATAAATCTTATCGAGGCCAAATTTATTCAGAAGCTGTGGGAAAAGAAAACACTTTTGAAATTCCCTCCATTTATTGATAATAATTTAGAATTATTATTGATAATAATTTAGAATTACCACTACTTTAAAATGTGAATTTGCAGTAGAATCATATTTTTAACAAATTTCTTTACAAAAAGTATGTACCCAATACTAATATTGGGTACATATTAGTAGGCTAATACTAATCAGCTTCTTAACAACCAACACTGTAAGTGTGTCTGTTAAGTTCCAACCTTCTGTTCCTACAGGTACACCACTGAACTGATTCATGAACCCCTGTGGAAAATGGATGGCTGTTGTTTACATATTTTCAAACTCTACAAGGTGCGTTTCTTACATTTTTATCCTCCCTCCCTCCCTCCCTTTCTCCACCAAACTTAAGGGATGAAGTATGAAAGTGGGCTGCTGGAGCTGAGACTGCATGCTGTCATACCCCTCCCTTTGACTTGGCGGTCACAAGACACATCAAATCTGTGACGGTAGAGCAAAAGTTACAATTGTGAGGAGCCCAGAGACTCAGTGGGCTGACACAGCACTGCAGGAAGCGGTCTCCCTGTTCCCTGAGGGAGGCAGGGCAGCACAGCAGCAGCCCCAGGGCCGGCCCGTACGTACCCTGCGTGCCAGGAGCAGGCCGGTGCAGTAGGCAGCAGCGTAGTTGGTCAGGCCCACCTTGACACCGTACTTGGGCAGCTCGTGGGCGTAGGCAGCGCACACGATCATGTCCCCCTCGATTCTGGCATAGGCAATCTGGCAACAGACAAACGTTAGGGCTCCACCATTGGGGTTCCTCGCTTCCTCTGACACCTACTCGAGCCAACATGAATGCTGGTTCCGAGCGTGCAAAAACTGCCAACCTCTGCATGCAAGCTCAAGGAGTGGTGCTGCTTTGGTTTGTTGGGGGGTTGTTTGTTTGTTCTGCCCCATCCCATGGTTTGTTTGTTTCTGCAAAAGGAGTCATCATCTCCTCAAGTAAAGACACAAAGAATTCAAACCTGTATTAGACCAGCTAAAATGTCTGTCAGCAACAACTGGTAACCACCTTTCCACATCAATCGAGAGGCCAGAAACTGCCTACAAGACCAACCTTTCCAAGAATCATTATGAATGGGGATGAATTCTGTCCCACTTTCTGATACATCTCAAAAAATACAAGCAGCATGGCAACACTGTCAGTAACCTTATGGAATGATTTTATTAATCATGGTCGGAGACCATCATCATCCCAGGGTCTCCTGTGGGACAGTAGGACCATCAGATATGTTTCTGCTGTTCCTTTCACGTATGGAACCTTCTCCTTTTGACTCTCACACCTCCTCTCTACATCCAAATGTCGTCCCATTTTTGCAGGATTCTGACACACTGGAAAGGAACTATCAGTCAGATGTAAGCCCCTGTAACCACTGATTTTTGTTTTCAGTTTTAAAGATAAAATAACCTCATTAATGACTAAACTGTTCTCATCAGATAACTACTCTGTGAAAAACCAAGTTAAACTTAGCTGCTTCTTTTTTGAGTTCAACGACATATATTTATTATAAAACAGGCATTCCCAAGTTTTAAACTTCAAAA